ATGGAGAGAACAGACAACCGCTCAGACCAAGAGGGTGTAGGTGTGTCAGGAAACGTTGATTCAGGACTGAGGGGCGGAGCCCTTGGCCAGAGAGTGGGCACTGAGTGAAGAAGATGGGGACCCCGAGGATGTTTCGAGGATTGAGGTGAGCCCACAGGGCTCTGTTGTCGGCCCAGCAGGGGGGCCTCGAGGGTGCTCTTGGGGACACAGTGGTGAGTGGGTGCGAGCATGACATGGAGCCCGGAACCAGACTGCCAACTTTGGGATTTTCCAGCTCTGGGTGATGGTGGGCACGTTTTTGAGCCTCTCTCTGCTTCAGTTTTCCCCATCTGTAAAGTGAGGATAATAACATTTGCCTCATAGAGTTCCTGTGAGCATCTAATGACTTAAGACATGTAAATTGCTTAGAACAGTGCCCAGCACTCAATACCTGTTCATTTTTATTAAGGTAGGGAGACCCAGCTGGCAGGTTTGGGACGTTAGGACCTACACCTTGGCTCCCAGTGAAAGTAAAGACACCCTCCTCTAGATTTTTGAGCTCCCTTTCTGTAGCTTCCTCTCGTGTTTGAGCTCGGTGTCGTGGGACTCTCCCTCTTCTGTTCCCTCCCCCATGCATGCACTCGGCAATGGCCTGTGGAGGACTGCTCTGTGCCTTCCCCGAATTAACCTCGCCCCTCTCCCCCCATCTTGTCCCTCCTAGGGCACATTCGCGTCCCAGGTGACACTGGAAGGGGACAAGGTGAAAGTGGAGCGGGAGATTGACGGGGGCCTGGAGACCCTGCGCCTGAAGCTGCCTGCCGTGGTGACCGCCGACCTGCGGCTCAACGAGCCCCGCTATGCCACATTGCCCAACATCATGGTGAGCGCCTGGCAGATGGGTCCCTGAGGGTCTGGAATGCACGAGTGCTGTAGGCCCAGCACCTCCCTGGTGGTCAGATGGGAGGGGAATTGATCCAAGGACATCTCATCCCAAGGAAGGGATCACTCAGTCATTGTGGCTAACAGAGGGTTCACTGGGTTGTTTCTGCCAATAGTGGGCATTGGTGGGGGCTGTTTTGGCCAACAGGAAGGATTTGCTGGTTAATGTAGCCAACAGAAAGCCTTCATTGGACAATAAAGGGGTTCCCCTTTTCCGTCCAACCAATGGGAAAGGTTCATTGTGTACTCTTAGCTAAATAAGGATTCATTACGTCATTTTGGTTCATTAGGGAGGGTGCCCCTGGCATTCTTTGCCAACAGGAAGGACTCATTTTGGCCATGATGGCTAACTAGGAAGGGTTCATGGTATCTCTTGGCTAACAGGAATAGTTCACTGTTCATCATGGCCAGTAGGATGGGCTCATTGGGTCATCTCAGCCAGTAGGGAGGGTTCACTGGGTCATCTCAGCCAGTAGGGAAGGTTCATTGGGTCATCCCATTCCAATAGGGAGAGTTCAGTGGGTCATCTCATCCAATAGGGAGAGTTCAGTGGGTCATCTCATTCAATAGGATGGGTTCAATGAGTCATCTCAGCCAATAGTGTGGGTTCAGTGGGTCATTTTGGCCAAAAGTCCATTGAATTTTGACTGTCAGAAGGATGAATTTGCCAGTCCATTCCAGCCAGTGAAGGGCTTCCCAAGGTGGTTGACTATTGGAGGACTCCTGCAGTAGGAGGCTTCCCAGGGCATCCCAGCCAGCAGGAATTGTTCACACCAGGTGTGGCCCTGTAAGAGGTCGCGTGTGTCCTGGCCAGTGGGCAGGTCCAAAGAGTTCAGCCAATGGGAACAGTTCTGCAGACGTGGCACCCGTGGAAAGGGGCTGCAGTGAGGTGGGCAGGGGCTTAGGCAGCCCTGTGAACCATGGCCTCCCCTATGCAGAAAGCCAAGAAGAAGAAGATCGAGGTGATAAAGCCCGGGGACCTGGGCGTGGACCTGACCTCCAAGCTCTCTGTACTTAGCGTGGAGGACCCACCCGAACGCACAGCTGGCGTCAAGGTGGAGACCACGGAGGACCTGGTGGCCAAGCTGAAGGAGATTGGGCGGATTTGAGCCCCTTCCCTGAAACTTGGCAATAAAACTATGACTCTGCTGACGTCTGTCTCTGTTACCTCATTCCCTGGAGACCTGTTCTTTGATTCATTCAACAAGCATTCACTTAAATGTCCTGTGTGCCGGGCTCTGTGCTGGGCAACACTGGGGACCCAGGTGAGTCACATCCAGTCCTTGCCCTTGAGAAGCTTCCATGTTGAAGGGGGGATGGACATGGGCCAAGGTATAAGGCGGGGTGCTGTAAGCAGAGGCAGCAGTGGGCTCTTGGGAGCCCACGTGGGGCATCTGAGCTGGCCTGTGGGGTCAGAGAGACTTCCCAGGGAGATGGCATCTAAGCTGAGTCTTGACAGACAGACATCGGTGAGGTGGGGGAGAAGAAGGGCTTCCATCCACAAAGTGTTTGCTGGGCCCTCCCAGGTGCCAGGCCCCTGCTGAGACTCGGGACACAAGAGGGAACGAGGCTGGAAGCACAGATATTCAGAACCCAGTGTGGGGATGAAGAGCTGGGGCCTGGAGGCAGACTGTGTGATTTCAAACCCTCCTCTCACATGTGCCAGCTGTGGGGTCTTGAGTGAGTTAGTTCCCATGTCTGAGCTGCAGTTCCCTCCTCCGGCAGACGGACATAGTAAGAGCTGAGTGTCGCAGTAAAGGCCCTGAGGTCTAGGTCCCGAGGCCCTGGGGTCAGATCCCAGCCTGGCTCTGGGAGGACCCTGGCTCTGGGAGGACCCTGGCTCTGGGAGGACCCTGGCTCTGGGAGGACCCTGGCTCTGGGAGGACCCTGGCTCTG